GCCGCTGACAGCGCATTCCGCGAGCTAAGGTCAGCCTTCGGTAGTGTTGTGGGTATAGGCTTGTTGATTTTTTTTTTTTTTGATGTCTCCATTGAAACCAAAAGTGCCATCAGCGCTGGCAGCGGCTGGCAGCGTGCCGTGAAACACCGCCCAGGTCAGGTCACAGACCCAAAAGACGGGAAAATCAGGACCTGTCAGAACCTCCTAAAGTAAGGCTGTAATACGTTTTTTTTTTGTGCTGATCACAAATTTCATGTTAGTTTGGATCATAGATAATGTCTTCATGCGTTTAGACCATGTCGGGGCAGGTCAGGTCAGATCAACCAGTAGGAGTACTTATGGCCGTCCGTATAGCAGGTGTCCACTACCACTGGCAGCTACGTAACATGATACGAAGGCATCAAAACTACTTCGTAAATGTTCAAATGGCTGCAAAATGCTAAATTCAAAGTCAGCTAAACGAAACTATCCTAGAAACATGTTAAACTCGGAAAAGTGCACCGAGGTCATCAAAGGTCAATGACCTGACTTGACCGTAAGGTGACATTGGCATCCGCCCTAATGCGTGGGAGCAACATCATATCACATGTTTGAGCGTTTTAAACCACGAAAAGACTATAAAAGCGCGGATAATGTGAGCCGACATACGCCGAATCGCTATTCCGGCCAAACATGGCCTCCAACATGGCCAAACAGTCTCGAGAAATAGGCCACAAGTCAAAGTTCACTTGGGTCAGGGTCATGAAATTTTCAGGCTTTGTCACCATGAGGGTACTAAAGTTTCGTCGCGATCGGCTTCATGATACCTTACACGATAACTTCACACGTCGATCGAGAGTTAAAGCATGGATGAAGGAGAACCAGGGGATGAAGGTTCTTTCATCCATGGTTAAAGTGTGCAATAAGAACTTCTTGGGTGAAGACAAGACCAACACTTTTATCAAGCTCACAGATTTTTAATGATACGGTATTTTCTCTCTACCTACTACGCCCTTCTCACATTCATTTTTCTTAAGTGTTTTTGGGGACAAAAAATATATGTTGTTCCCCTTTCAGGCTTGGGGGCATGACCCCGTGGCCCCCCTGGAGCCGCTAGGCCGAAACTAACTAGGTCGTTTTCAAACGGTCTGATATTTCAGGTCATAGTTTGCAAACGGCCGGTGTTTTCAGGTAGTTTCATATGGCCTGACTGGGCCAGGCCGTTTGCAAACGGACCGAATTTTCATACGGCCTGTAACATATATTCAGATTTCGACATCTGTCGTAGCATCAAATGCTGATGTGGCGCACTCAAAAGCCGGAATTGGTCCTTGGATGCCGTAAGGATCCTTTTAAGAAATAAGTGACCCGACTGACCCTTAGAGATTGGCCTGAGCTGTGACCGAAATAAGTCTTTTACCGTTTCGCAGGAAGGGACAAAAAGGTCCCTCATATGCTTCTTGTACAATTACGAAACAAAACAAGTTTTTTTTTTTTCAACGAAAACTCAGTGAGTTTTCCTAAAAAAATTATTGCGCATATTCCGTGAATGAAAAGTTGCCGGGTCATGTCAGGTCAGGCTGCCACAGCAAGTTTGTTAACTTGACAGCTCAATCGATATTTATGCAATAAGACCTTCTCGGGTGACGATAAGACATGACGACACTTTATGAAGGAAGCTAGTAAACCCGGTAGTTTCTCCATAGGCGCGGGAACCGGGGGGAGGGGGCAGTGGTGGCAGCTTGCCCCCCCCCCCCCCAACTCTGGGGCCGTGCGGGCGGTGCCCCCACAACTTTCAGACAGAATACCGCTCCTTTTTGCAAATGTTTTCTTTTTTTGTTGAAAAAGCCAAGGGATGAAAAATAAGTGGCCTAAAACCGGCGAGAAAACTATATTTGGGGGATCCTAGGTTGATCTCTATCATGATGTGACCTCCCCCCCCCCCCCGTCTAAAAGTAGTTCCCGCGCCCCTGGGTTTCTCTACGCTATTGAATCACGCTGCTGATTCTAGTAAGTATCTACTACACAACCTTCTCACATTAATTTTTCTTCGAGCGTTTTGGGGGGCCAAAAGATATGTTGGCCCCCTCTTTCAGGCTTTTTGGGCCCATGGCCCCGGTGGCCCCCTTGAATCCGCCAGTGGGGGCGGTGCCCCCACAACTTTCAAACGGAATACCGTCCTTTTTTGCAACTGTTTCTTTTTTTTGTTGAAAAAGCCAAGGGATGAAAAATAAGTAGCCTAAAACCGGTGAGAAAACTAGATTTGGGGGGACCCTAGGTTGATCTCTATTATGGTGTGCTCCCCCAGTCTGAAAGTAGTTCCCGCGCCCCTGACTTTCTCTACGCTATTGAATCACGCTGCTGATTCTAGTACATTCTGATTCTGTAGGTATCTACTACGCAACCTTCTCAAATTAATTTTTCTCCAAGCGTTTTGGGGGGGGGGCCAAAAGATATGTTGGCCCCCCCTTTCAGGCTTTTGGGGGGGGCCATGGCCCCGGTGGCCCCCCCCCCCCTGGATCCGCCAGTGTGTACACCAATATGTATAAATAGCACCATCGTGCTCCTGAGCTCAAACTGCATCCGATAGACAAGTTTTTGTTGAAAAAAATCAACTTTGAAATTCGACCTTTTTTCTGAAAGTGACCTGACCTCAGCTATATTCAGATGAAAATGGCCTCAAATGACACAGGCGACACCGAATTCGAAATCTATGGCCTAAATAGACCATAAAACATGTGTCACGTGACCGACTTATGACATAAGATTTCCGTGACCAATGATGACCTGACCCTGACCTGAAAATCAAAGTACAAGTTTGGTACCATCTAAAGCATCTGTTCACGAGTGTGTAAACCAAAAATCAGCCTGATCTGACTTATAAGACGGCAGCCAGAGCCCAAAAAGTGATCAAGCCAAATATCGATAATTTTTACTTTGACCTGACCTGTGACGTCATCGGTGGACTCGAGGTCAGTGAAATTAGGTTTCGCTCGACAGTTTTTCCGGGGCTATCAGATACCGTTTGAATTTTGACGATCGGCTCAGTAGTTTAGGAGTTCGGAGGGGGGGGCTATGAATATCCCCCCCCAGTGGGGCGTGTAATACACAGACCCCAGTGGGGCGCGGGTTAAAAGAAAATGAAGGCGCAGTAAAACATATCTTGCCCATCCACCCTTGCCACAGCGCCACGTTAACCCGCGCCCCGTAGGGGGGGGGGGCGAAACGGCCCCCCCCCTGTCCTTTTCGGTCGATATCTCCTAAACGGCTGGAGATATCGCCACCAAACTTTCAGGACCCCTCCGGGCATCAATTTTACACATTGTGACCAAAAATTTTTCTAGAGGCTATGATAGGTTGGCCACAAATGACGTCAGAGTGACGTCATGTTCTGTCATTTTCGACCGAAAAAAGACCTTCGCGAGAAGACCTGTCAGGACTACAGCTTTGAAGATATAGAAAAATGATCAAGACATAAAAGGTGTAGAATTGACAGGGCTACAAAACTGCTATCTCGAATTTTTGAAATTTTTGAGTTTTGACCCCCAAAAATCAAAAAAGCATTTTTTTGGATATATTCGCCAAAAAATCCAAAAAGTTTTTGAGTTTCGAAAAAAAACCGGAATATATGTGATAGTGCCTACCATCTTCTATCTACATACCAAATTTCAGATCGATACCTCGTTTTTTGGCCAAGTTATAGCGAAAAAACTGTTCAAAAATGATGACGTCAAATTTTCAAACTCAATTTTTGGCAATTCTAGAACTTGTAGAGCAAAACGAAGACCACCATTAGACTCCCCGTGACGAGCTGCATCGAATCGATACCCATCTTATGCAAAAATATCAACTTTGAAATTTGACCTTATTTGACCTGACCTTGACCTGACCTTCACAAAAACGTGACCTAGGCTGGCCCCAAAGGCTGCCTAACCCACATAATCGCATTTGTCATGTAAAATGGACCATAAAACATGTATCACACGACACATTCATATTGTGACCCCCGGTGACCTGACCTCGCTGTGACCTGACCTGGTATCAGTGACCTCAGATAGCAAAGTATGTGTTTGACGAACAATGTACCATCGATGGTTTTCAATAAATTACCAATTTACTCGCTTTCACAGCACATTTCTTGAATTGCCTGTGAACGGTGAAAATCTGACCTTTGACCCGACCTGTGACGTCATCGGTTTGACCTAGGTCAATGGAATTTGGTCACAAGGTAGTTCCCGGGTGGTGCTATCGAACGCCGTTTGAATTTTGAAAATCAGCCGGTAACTTTCCGAGATCTTAGGGGGGGGGGGCCGAAACGGCCCCCCCCCCCCTACGGGTGGTAGGGTCCGCCGGTAGCCCTACGGGGCGCGGGTTAAGGAATATAAAATATTTATTATCAAAAGTGTATATCTTTCAATGCGCAGTGCAGTGTCGCAGCCTTTTCACCGCGTAACAGGCGGGTGATAAAGTTCAGACCACGCAATGACTTACATAAGACAGTGACATTTCGTCGAAAAACCATGTCATCTGTTCTTACTACCCGTGATCATGGTCTGAATATATAATGCCAAACTTTAGTCCTGAATTTCAGATCGGCAGTGAGTACCCCTAAATAAGTGCATAGATGCCCCGTCATACCTATGTTACGATTATCCAATGATATCCATTTATGTTACAATAGATACCCGTGTTTGGTCGGAGATCTGTTTGTGGATATGATCTGTTGTAGTTTGGGGCATTTGAAATGTTATAACTAGCATATTCTGTAAGAAATATATACGGATTACAGATGACACTGGACCTCCTATATTCTCTTGTATGTATACCTAATAGCTTCCAAATAACTGTTCGTGACTGCATTAAACGAATAGAATTAGGTGTAGTCCCATTGCAGCTCTATTAGCATTATAATGCACAGTAACAATGACATTGTGTGCCAATTTTCAACATCTCGGTAACCTCAGAAACACATATCAAGGCAACCTTCATCAGACTAGTTTACATCAACACACACACACGCAACTGTTTACTTGGGATCATACACTCTCTGACCGTAATAGTTTCCTCCGGGACCGTAGTTGCAGAAATAGAACCTCTCTACATACCGGCCTCTTGGGCGTTTAGTCTCAACATATCCGCAGCCAATTTCTGTTGTCTTCGCCCAAATTATCTGAGTGAGATGACCGGCTTTGCCCCCGCGATATTTGAGATTACTCAGGGTAGACCGGACGTAGGGGAGCTCACTCGAGAACCAAGCGTTGGCAATCCTGTTCCTCCAGTCTTTAGCCTGATTGCCGGACCAGGCGAAGTTTTGTCCGACGTATTTTCCAGGCAGGTTTCGGCACTGGTCGTGTCCAGTCTGGCACTGGTTGGCCCAGCGCTGTGCGATCCTGGCCAGTGACGAGCTCCAGCGCAGGTTGGGCATGTACCGTGCCGCCGGCAGACCTCTGTTCCTGTGGGCACCCCTCTGGACGGCGCGGCGCAGGTCGTTGTGGACCCGCAGGATCTCGGCCCTGTCGGCAGCGCTCACAGAGCTGACGCGCACGGCGCCGCACGCCCGGGAGACTCTGGACGAGGTGAACCGGCACATGGTGTGCTGGCTCGGCGACCGGCACGAGGAGATGTTGCAGAAGTTTTGGGCAGAGCTCGGCTGGAGCGCGGCCAGCGCGGCCAGCAGCACACAGGAGAGGCGCAGGGGCGCGGCCATGATGACGCCGGAGGCTGCGAGTTACGATGTCATGGCTGTGATGGCGGCGACTTTTATACCCGGGCTGTGCGTTCAGCTAATTGTCGCCGCGCCCACACACTGTCATTCACAGTTCAAGGCTTCAATACGCCGGCTAGGCAACAGGGAACCGCTCACCCCGCAATGCTTCCTAGTAACTATTACATTTTATTAATTTGTGTTCTGACAGAAAATGAAAGTCATTTTACAGGAAACGCGGAGTCGGTAACGGACGGTAAATCAATATGCAAAGAACATGTGCAAGAAAAAAGAATATTTACAGTTTCGGCAGCTCCTGATCAGTGCATCAATATTGCCAGCTAGCCAACTATGTAGCATAGACCACTGTATATCGATGGCCTATGTCTGTATGTAGGTAGACCACCGTAATAGTTAGTGTTCTATATAACCACATAGATAAATATTGGTCTATGCCTGTAGTCATCCACCTCTCTGTACTCCATTGCGTGGTGTAAAGCACAGAAATCGGGAGGTTGTAACAGATGCATGTAAAGCCATATGTTAGGACATCTGCATTGGTTCTGTGTGAATGTGTTGCCCAATTTCATGACAATTGCAATGATTGCAGGGTCTGGAAGCATTGCAAGCATCGTCTGATCAGACGAATTCCATCTTTCCTAAAAGCTCAGGATTGTATCGAAGCCCGACTTGCCAGCCGAATATTTGCTCCGCGAAATGGCGGATTCCGTTGCGCGTGTTGTTCGATCAGCCATGCTATTGTTGGACCACATTCCGCATAACCTGCTCTACTCCCGGACCCCACCAGAGCTCTCTGGTGAAGCAATTACACTAAATGAACAAAAAAGAAACACTGGTCCAAGGCACAATGGAAGCTATCAGAAAAAAATGCCTGAATGTAATATCTATTAGGCACAGAGCGATTGCGATTTGCGCTCGCCGCACAAAAACACACGGCTGGCATCGGCACGGTGCGTTTTTGGAGCGCCACATTGTCAGATCCACTCAAAGAATGTTGTCATTTCGCGGACGCAGTTTTGGCATCAGTAGAATCCTGAGCACTCCGCTACAAGGAGCTTAGATCGACTACTTAGCTATATTATGTCTGTATAGCGAACTCGTGATGTTTCACTAAGCATTAGGTACATGACTAACAGGCCGATCGAACTTAAAATGCACGTTTCCATTTAGCCTAGCAAGTGCAAGCGGGAAATCGCCTGGTGACACGAGCAACTAACAAATCTCACAAAACGCTTGGGGTCCCAAACTATTGTTTATCATGTTTAGGATCATATAATCTTAATATCAAACGGAGCCTGGTTTCCGAGGAAAATAGCGTGATAATTTTTTGCATGTAAGATACCCGTTGAAACAGCATTATCTATAGATAAAACCCACACAGATAACAATCCCTATGACCCCTACCATAGATAACAGTAGAACCCCTACATAATACACATTTACACCTACATCGATGACATAGCGCTGTTCATGAGAAGCATGTCACAGCACCAAGACAATAATCATATCTAGTCTAACAATCAAATATCAATGCTAACCCTACAACAGAAAAATAGCCCAGATTACCATTCAAAGTTGCATCTCAGATCGGAAGTAATTAACAGCTCGTATGCGGCGTATAATACAATGAAACTGGCGCGACTGCCGCTGAAGTCGCCCAGAACAAGACATCTGTGACGGAATGGACCGTCCACGGCACTTGCCAGTGGAGCCTCGCGGTCCACGACTGAAGAAGCTTAGAAGTTGACGTCGCCTTCTTCGCCATTTTCGCGCTGGTGGACCTGCGTCGTCGACGGCGCATGCTAGTGGAACTGGGCGGGCACCTGGGCGCAGACGACCGTCTCTCCGTCTCCGTTGGCGATGTTCCACTCCAGCGTGACGGTGATGGTCGGTAGGTCGTGGCCCACGGTCAAGTTGGCCAGGTAGCTGAGCGACTCTCCGATGTCCGCCGGACACTGGCCGATCAGCAGCTTGGTGCACATCTGCAGACAGGGCAGCGAGACAGGTCGACCGGTGGAACAGATGGGGCGCTGCGCACTCTTATAGCGTAAATTGTATCAGGAGAATGGCAGGAATAAAACATGTGTTCCCTTTCTCTCAAAGGCTCTACATATACTGTATTCCAAGCGGGCTTAGAGTAAAAAGGTAGGTAAAACGCAATGGGTACGTGATAGCTCTATACCGCATAGGCATGGGGGTGCCACAGATTCTAACAAACGTTCCTGAATCGGGGTCGTGGCAGTTTGACCGACTCCGACTTTGACTCCTGGTGCGTTGTTTCGTCTGTGGGTGACACTGACTCCGACTCCGACCTCAATTCCGAACCGACTTCGTTGTAGGCCTTCCTGGTTTGACACTGACCAATGATTATGATGTTACTCCTTTCAGGAAAGAGGTAGGTGCGCTCGACTACCTTTGACCTTTTACTGATGCACAGCTTCGCGTGGGTCTATCATAACTGATTTTTTCTTGTTTATCTTTCCCATCTCCATCCACCCGTCTGGACTTATATCCTGTCTTTCTGTTCATTTCTGTCGGTTTTGGATGTATTTGTGGCGTGCTTGGGGAAGCTAATTCGGGGTCATGAAAAATTAATGAGTATAAAGCTTTCGTGATATTTAGATACGACACCATAAACAGCGCAGTGGTGGCTATCTTACCTGTTCGTCGACATAAAGCGGAATTGCAATACCTCCGAATAGAGCATTAATCGTCGTTTTGAGGGTGCGATAGTTCGAGACTGAAAATGAACGATACATGGTATGAATAAAACAACACATAATAAACAACATTTTAGTAGATTTATGAACATAAAAATATCGGACATAAGTTGCAACAATGTGTAATATCTAACACGCATGCCACATACCCATTTATCCTATTGACTGTGTGGTACCATTGGAATCCTATCGAGGGTCTTGGTAAATAAATAGAAAATGAATAAATAAACTCACCCGCCTTGAAGAGAACCTCTCCAGCGATGGGCACTCCCCGTTCGAAGACGCACGGCCATTCTCGGCAGCTACCTAGCTGAAGTCCGACCAGGGAGCCGGTAAACCCTGCCGAAACAGTGTGAAAACTGAGGGCTCCCCACAGAAAACATGACAGGTTTTAGGAGCAAATGCATGAATGGATCCACGCCAGTCTGACAGGGCTTGAACTAACATTTGAATGCATCAAACCTGATTCATTCGTACATTATTGATAAAAACTATATCATTAGTGAAACTTACATAAAGTGCACCGAATATGCATATTTGAATCTGCAATAATGTATCATCATGGTTATGCAAAGTAATGTATTTCTGAGAGCCCGCTCACCCAAAACACCATCTGGCATCTGTGACCACTTACGACACAACCTACGAAGAGTTATCTAATCATGACCGTTTGAGATTTCCGCAGAATACGTCGTTCCCAGAAATCGACCTCCCCACTTACCACAGTCACTGTAGGGAGTTTCTGTTCCTGTAGTCAGCAGCGGCAGCAGCAGCAGGCCAATGGTCGGCGCGTGGGGGAGCCTCATGGTGATGCGGCGGTCGGCAGGCCCTTCAGACGAGTCTCTGAGGTACACGGCGCTGCCGGCCGCGCTGCAAACCTGTCGTTTCCGGCGTGACACGTGCCGGGTTCCCGCGCGATGGCCGCGTCCCGCCAGACTGGCGCGGTGGGTCGGCTGGGGATGGCGGCTGGGCGGGGAGGGAGACGGGTGGGGAGCGAGATTGATGCATTGTTACTCACAACAGGAGAACTTACAAAAAGATGGCAGTGGTCTGTCGAACCTCTGAGCATCCAAGCCACTGGACACGAAAGGATGTCATATAAATATTTCATGGTTTCATAATTTTTGCTTTGGTTTTTGGTCAAAATGTCTCATTCATTGTTTGTCCGATAGGCGTTATCACAAGTGTATTCGCGGCCATTGGGGCGACGTAAGAAAAGAAGAAAACAACTGGCCCCAAGAACTTTAAATTATCAGTTAGCATGCGCCTTTTCCTTGATATGTAGAGAACTTACCATTAATTGTTAGAGAAAATTGCATTTAAAATCTTCCATTTATGCTTTTTTTCATCGTTTGCACAGTATGTTCTTTTACTAAGCTAAAAACACTAATTAGAAATAGTTCCCGCATCATCAAGAACAATAGGGAAGGCTTGAAGTGAATACAATAATCTAAACGGTTTTGTAATCCATGTGAAGACACTTCTAAAATTGCCTGTAGAAATATTAAAGGCAAAAGTTCAACTTTTTCACAAGACGGATGGCTATAAACCTATTCAACGTGTGACAACTCAGCCGGTATTTCGTCGCCTACAGCCCAGCTTTCCCTAGTGACCGATAGAGGCGCTGCTATCGATGTCCGCCCGTGCCGCCTAACGCAAAACCCCAATTTATTTTTTGTTGAAACTCCAATGGTAGGGGGTCTGTAGTTGCCCTTATCGCCTCAGCTACTATATCAGCGACACCCCACGTGTCTCTGCGGTGAACACCCTGGCAGCTGCGTGTGCAATCCGTCTGAGAAACAGCCAACTATCACGTGACGGCGCTGTGACAGCGCACCTCGTGACCCAGCGCAGCGCTGGCGAGACGAGCGCCTCTAGGGATTCGAGCCACCTGGCTGTCGGCTCGCGGCGGAGCTCCCATGAAAAGGTGAAATCATTGCATCTGACGCACTTATTTCACGTTCATTTGAGAATTGCAATTCGTGCTTTTGATATTTGTCATTGTAATTGCACGACTGTAAAATAGTACGAAATGACAAGCATCATCACTGCTTAGTGCTTTTCTAAATAACTTTGAGACTTTGGTCAATTCAGCGGGTCTAACAAACACATCGTACAAAATGAAACACTATCGAGCAAACAAGTGCATGAATCGGAGAAACTGAACATTGGATCTGATCCCACAGATCCTGATCTGGGATTCGATGGGATCATAGATCCCAGTCTATTTTTAGTTTAGATCTAATGAGATCATAGATTCTCACTTATTTTTGTCAACACAGAAAAGCTGAACCCGGCCGGGCTTGGGGGAAATCCCAACCACCATAGCCGGGGGGGGGGGGCGTTTTTTGCCCCCCCGTCTTACTCCGTAAATAAGGGAGATAAGGAAACAAAACCGGTAACAATCGAAAGGTTTTCACAAGACGTTTCTAATGCTCCCAAAATTTTTGACCTCAGGTCGATTTTCAAGGTCAGAGGTCAAGGTCAAAGGCAAAGGCATACGTGTAGTGATATCAATGTAAGTGAAAAACGGCAAAATGGATGTAAAACGAAAGAAGAGAATCTGAGAATTCTGATGATGTGCCCAACATTTAATTTTATTTCACGATCATGCTTAACCCTCGCCGGCACAGGGTTGATGCAACGCCCCCTAAGGTTTTTCGCGAATAACTCGCGTAAAAAGCGGACGATCGCGACGAAACTTTCAGTACTCTCGCATTGATCAATTTTACACCTACCCAGAAAAATTCGTGATCCTGACCCAAATGACCTTTGACCTGTGACCTCTTTTCCGAGACCATGTTTGGCCGGAATCGCGATCCGGCGTATGTCGGCTCGCATTAGCCGCGCGTGGTTTCGTGGTTTCAAACGTTCAAACATGTGATTGGATGTTGCTCCCATGCATTAGGGTGGGTGTCAAGGTCACCTGAAGGTCAGGTCAGGTCATTGACCTTTGGTGACTTCGGCTCACTTTTTTCAAATTTTATATGTTTCTAGGCTAGTTTTGGAGCTGAATTCGAATTTAGCAACCATTTGAACAATTACGAAGTAGTTTTGGTGCCTTCGTAACATGCTACGAAGCTATCAGAGGCGGATGACAGGTATACTACGAATACCTGTCACGACCCCTACCGGTTGACCTACCGGTTGAAACCGACCAAGGTCGGTTTACCGACCCCTACCGGTTGAAAATATGCTCTCACAATATAAAAGCACATGCATCAACGGCCGTAGCACTTTAAATCCATTCTTTCTTATAGTTTTCGCTCTTTCTGAACCGAGCGACATCACTTCCATGCCAATTCATCAACTTTTTTGAAGGTGGGAGGGTCCCTTTAAAGTTAGTAATAATAAACAAGACAATTTTGCCATCCGGAAGCTCTAAATGAAGGCATAGAGGAAAAAAGATGCCAGATTCGTGATCAGCGGGTACAAATCCATCATAGGCGACCTTTCATGTGTCAAGGTCAACCAAAAGTCATTCGAGGTCACATGAGGTCAACATAAAACTTGACCTTTTCCAAACAAAAAATATATCATTCGACGCGGCTTGACAAGACAAATGCGATGGTATCACTGCCGTAGCTCTAGGACCATTTTTGTCGAAGTTATTTGCGAAAAACTAAAACCACATTTCGGGGTCGTTGACCTGACCTCTGACCTCAGGTCACCAAAACTATTTTTCTGTTTTTCTCTAGGTCAAACGCTACACAACCGTGCTCGTAATTTGTCTTCATCACTAAAACTCTAATTTTAGCAGCTATTTGAAGTTTGCGTCTGTGACGCCGAAGTTTGCCGTGCAGGGGTCTGGAAAAATCAACCCTATGACGTCATCAAGGGGGCTAGGGCCGAATTTTTACTAAAGAAGATGTCAAATTGATTGGAGAAAAGGTACTGAAAGTTTCGCTTTCCTATTTCTAAGCGGTCGGGAGATATCGCAAATATTCGCCAGGGGGGAGAAAAACGCCCCCCCCCCCCCGGGCCCGCGAGGGTTAACCAAAAATGAGCCTGATCTGACTTGTTAGGCGGCAGCCAGTGCCCAAATGGTGAACAAGCCAAAAGGTTGATAACTCTTACTTTGACTTGGCCTGTGACGTCATCGGTCACGGCGAAGCCAATGAATTATTAGATCCCATGAGATCATAGATCCACTGGATATTTTTTTACGCTGGATCCGGTGGTATCATATGTAGGTCCTAACATGCAGTTTGCTTTGAGATCATCTGAAATCATAGTCACATAATCACTCGGATCCATACACAGTACACGCACGCAACTAAAAGCAATGGACAGCTATTGGCAAATACTGACACCAGAACCAAAGTATATAATTTTGCTGAGGGTTTCCGATGTCACGGAAACTGTAAAGGTCGTCTTTTCGGAAGATAAAATGAAAATAAACATAAGACTACCACGTGTTTGAGTGACGCTTGTTGTCACGCTATCTTTATGGTTTCCTTGTGATAAAGCCAAACGACTGATGAGAAAATGCCAGACGGCCGACTTCTATCGCTGCAAAAGACTGTAATAAGAAACCAGCAACAAAAGTGCCATGAGAAAGCACGCCGACAGAAATATCCATAAAGACGATATATACCTAAGGAACATTATGACCCGACAAGCTGTTCAAGATAGCCTGCGTGTGCGTAGGCAATCAAGAGTTTATTCAGTGCTGAGCAGATGTCATGAATCAAGCTATACCTAGCCTGAGTCAAGCTTTACTTAGACGTTCCCTGTCCCGCAAAGTTTTGCGAATTTTTCAGTCGTCAGCCAGGCTCGGCACTCGCTGGGTTGGATTGCCCGGCTTTTTGTCGATCTCGTTAGTTCCGTTCCGGCCACGTTATGCCCGAACAGTGGACTCGGCACTTGACAACACCGCACGCCGAGCCGATAAGGTGGGAAATTGCCGACTGACCAACGCGAGAAGTGACGTAGCCATCGCCCGATCTGCCCTATAAAACGGCGACCCGGCACAGGAGTGTCCACACAGTGGCAGCCAGCAGCCCTCAGCAGCTCTCAGCAGGTCCCAGCAGCAGCTTCCAGCCAAGATGAACGCCATTCAGATGACGCTTCTGGTGTGCGGCCTGGCCGCGTCAGCCCTCGCCAGCCCCGCCGCCAAACTGCTGCCCGAGACGCCATTCATCAGCTGTGGTATGTGGACCGGGATATAGGTGCATTTTGCACACCTTCAGTGTGGGGAAGGTGAGGGAAGATCTGGTGGGAGACCAGGAGCCAGGAGCTCAGTCGGTACAGGCTAAGTCTAGAGCCAATGCTGCAATCGGCAGCAAGATTTTGATAGTGTTCGACATGCTCGGTCTTTACACTTGTATTGTATGCTTCCATGTCCTTTTCCAAGGTTACAGCATCTGTCATTTACCAAACAAATCAGCACTGTGAGCTGATGAGGGGGTCTGACCAGTCGTTTCGGCACAGGTGCCGACACCATCAAGACCCTGGAGGTGGTGGGCTGCGCCAGTCTGCCGTGCATCCTGCGCCGTGGAACCACTGTCACACTCAACGTCGACATCGTCTCCAGTGAGTAGATGCCCATCTTGCTGCCCAAATAATGTGTTTTGGGTGGTCACGAAAATGCATATGACACTATGTCGTGTCAAGTCAGTAGCTGTCCATCTTTCTTCGCAAAGAACAGTTTAGCCTTTGGGGATCAGTTCACGAGGATATATGTGACACTATGTCGTCTGCAGTGAGTACTGAGCTGTTTTCCATCTCTTGCCCAAATGACAGCTGGAAGGGATGCGACGCTATAAGTGTGCTTTTTACACCAATAGCATTTGCATCAAGTATATTGGTCCCGGAAGTCCTCCAAACACACAAATAATTGCAGACGCATTCAGCTTCTAACTAAATGCTATACCTTTCACACATGGTCTTGTATCCCCAGACGCTGATACGGCGACTCTGGCGTCGGAGATTTACGGCAACCTCAACGGTGTCCTGGTGCCCTTCAGCGCCGACGACCAGGTGAGCGGGCCTGTGACGGCCAGCGAAAATAACCAGAGAAACATATCTGAGCTACATCTTTCTCTAAGCATCGGCTTTGTAGTTGGTGCAAACCTGCCACCTTCTTCGCTCAGCACGGATGACCTACATGACAGGCAGCGGTCCTGTCAGCTATTTACACAATATACAACCAAGCAGTTGTTAGTTTTAAAGTTAGATAGACTCCCGAAAGAATATGTGCGATACTTTTGAGTTTTGTGTTGCCTGACCTTTTTTAAAGTTGTTAGGAGTGTAATTTGTGGAGTCAATTTATTTAATTTCCATTTATTTGAGCCTGCGCTACTTTTTGCCGCGCAATCTGTCACCAAGTGTTTAATTTTTCATTGAGTGCTCTGTATTATTCAACGACTCATTCATTTGGCATGCTCACCAACTAATAAACTCACACCATTGCATTGCACTGGTCAGTGCCCACTGTCCACATTTACCAGCCCAGCTGTACATCTCTAACACCGTACCCCTCGCTCCCAACCCGCAGGCCTGCAGCTCGCTGACGTCCGTCCCCCACCCGCAGGCCTGCAGCTCTCTGACGTCCGTCCCCCACCCGCAGGCCTGCAGCTCTCTGACACAGCTCTCCTCCCAACCCGCAGGCCTGCAGCTCTCTGACACAGCTCTCCTCCCAACCCGCAGGCCTGCAGCTCTCTGACACAGCTCTCCTCCCAACCCGCAGGCCTGCAGCTCTCTGACGTCCACCCCCCCCCCCGCAGGCCTGCAGCTCTCTGACGACCGTCCCCCCCCCCCACACACACACACACCCGCAGGCCTGCAGCTCTCTGACGTTCGTCCCCCACCCGCAGGCCTGCAGCTCTCTGATGTCCGTCCCCCACCCGCAGGCCTGCAGCTCTCTGACGACCGTCCCCCACCCGCAGGCCTGCAGCTCTCTGACGTCCGTCCCCCCCCCCCACCCGCAGGCTTGCAGCTCTCTGACGTCCGTCCCCCCCCCGCCACCCGCAGGCCTGCAGCTCTCTGACGTCCGTCCCCCACCCGCAGGCCTGCGGCTCTCTGACGTCCGTCCCCCACCCGCAGGCCTGCAGCTCTCTGACGTCCGGCTCGTGCCCGCTGTCGAGCGGCGACGAGTTCGGCTTCACCACCAGTGTGGACGTGCTGAACGAGTACCCGCCCGTCTCCGTCACCATCGAATGGCGCCTCAAGGACGCCAGCGGAGCCCAGATGGCCTGCGCCCAGATCCCCGCGCGCATCATGTAGACGAGAGGACAGCTCACTCAGACTCCCCGACGCTCAACATGGGGCCAGACGCGTGCCGCGAAGAGCGGTTCGCGATGTCTTCCACGAAGTGTGGTATGGCATGGCTTTGTAATGTAGCGCGGAGGGAGGTTGGCTACCGCGCGGTTTTTGCTGCTGCGCAAACGAAGGCTCTGTCTGACCCATGTGGGAGGGAGCCCTGAAGGCTAGCAGAGGAACCGTGAAACGTATATTTCATCTACTTATTTATTTCACCGTCTTCGTCCATACTGTTGTATCACCTCTCGTGTAGTAGGTAATACATATTATCAGTGCAAGAACTGCTCTACCGTGTCAAGGAAAAACATAGTAAGCGCCAATGTAAACAAAAATGAGTTAGAGATGCTAACGGGGGTTTTCGGGAACGACGGATTCGTTTCTGGTATCGCTTTTTTCATAACTTTCTCCAAAACTGAGATATTAATGGGGTAGAATATAGCAAGTCCAGTGGCGTCTTCGGTTTGGCAAAGAAAAACACAGTATGTGACAAGTTGCTACATACTAGGTTTTACCTCGACCAAAGAGACCTGAACTTCCCATTTTGCGCTGATGTGCATTGTGATAAAGTGTCGCATACTAGGTTCTCGCCCATTCGCGACTTCCGCGCTTTAGGAAGCCCACTCCCCTGGTTGGGTCTGTCTGTTACTGCTGGCTACATGAGCGAGCTTGATGGCACATCAAGGTTGATGCATGTAGCAACTCGATGTGCTCTAGAAAACCTAAACTTCGCTTCACCGCCCCGGAGTCCATATTGCAACTTATCAGTGTAAACCCCGATTTTTGAACTGTGGAGAGCCACACTGACAAACTTTCGCTGTGTCGTTGAGCGGGCCGACATCTGCTGCGTGTGCCGAGCCGCCGAGCCCCGGTGGTACGAGTGGCAGGGGTGCCGGATCCAGTATCCCTGCACCTCTTCCTGACGTTCCCGAGGAGTTTCTGAGGGACCCAGTGTAATCCAGGGGTAGCCAGTAACAGTTGGTAGCATTAGGCCAAATGGGCGCTCAAAAACTACTACCCCATAGGGTTTGCATGTTAAATCGACCTTTTTCAAGCGAGCCCCACACGTAAGCTAAGAGATAAATTGCCAATATTATTGTGGGGAAAGGTAGCCTAAAGCTTCCTCTACAACCTTTTTATCTAGCGTTTTTCGATGCGGAGGCCATAACAGGTCCAAAAAGCATTGGGCGCTGCCCGAGGTAACAAAAGCCCCTCCATGAGGGCACTAGTTCCTGCGCATGCGCACATTGCCTCAACCCTGTACTAGCGTAAGTTAGCGATGCTGCTCACGGACTCGATCAACCAATGAGCGTCCCCGATTACCTTAATAGATGTCGCTAGCATCACGTAAATCCTGCTTGTGAACACATTTTAAGAATGAAACAGCTGCGCCATTTCCGCCTTCCATAGATTCCTTCCATCTTAGTATCAACTATAGGCTTTTCAACTAACTTTATTCTAAGTTTTAAACTATGGTTAGTATGTTATTTCTGGTTCATATAATTTAAAAATAACCGCTTTATGAATTTGGCTTTACTCGTCATAATGGAATACTCTATTTATTCCATATTCAAAAAATATATCACCTTCCATGTAACTTATCCAGGTAAAATGGGCGCTTTCCGCGTCGTTGGTGTACCCGTTGTTCTATATACCCTGGTGTAATCTACGTCTGCCTCTGCGATACCGAATGCGTCTAAAGAGCACGATATCAGGGTGTGTGAAGTGGGTTAGTAGCATAAACTATTTTGATTTGGGTTGTGTTGAAGATAGCGAGAGCCTACTGATGCATGCCGAAGCACTGTAGTCAGCCAGCATGATGATGCGATGGCGCACACTGCAGATATGCAGGTGTAACTTCTAAAAAAAGACCGTGGCCCTGTTGACGGGACCTGCGGTAGCTGCGGCTCGGCGGTCAGCCGCGGGATCTATGGCCACGTGTAAACACCGAGCTGCAGCTACGGCAGGTGCCCGTGAACAGCACTCGTGAAAATCACTTCTTTATGAGCCGTTTGGTCCATAGGCGTAGGAACAGGGGGGGGGGGGAGCGGAGCCCCACCCACTTTTCAGCCTTTTTTAAGAAAAATCTTCATTTTTGATTTAAATACAAAACTAAGAGCAGGAAATGGTTCAACAAGGTAAGATGAGCACAAAACTACATAGAATTTCTTCATAGGAGCATTCTTGAAATGACAACTGTTTCAGTTTTGTTGACAACCTATTTCATAGATAAAGCACATCTGGCACAGAAAAACGTAGTAAGTAACCATGCTAGGTTTTCCCTCTTAGTCCAATGCCACAGCTAATCTAGCAAGTCCACATTTACATTATTGGTAAGCCTTTGAAAAATTTGGATAGCATTTCTGAATTGCGCACATACAATACATATAGAAACACTATTCAGGTTGATGCATGTTATGCGCATTTGCTTAGGCTAGCACACGTTAACGTTTCCTCGTTTTTCTCCGTTTCGTCACCTTGACACTTACTAGGTTCTTCAAAAATAGGGTAGTGCTGTTTTGTTTTTACCGCTAGAACAAGGAGAATGAAACACAATGAATGGTCAGGTAAGCTTGCCTTTGATCTAAGTGTTCCACAGGGACGGGGTCAAAACATAGCAGAAACAGTCCAAAGACTGAAACTCGGAATACAATTATCACAGAGCAAAAGTAATGGTACCAACACGTTTTTATGTACACATTTTTTTTCGAAAAGCAGTGTTGACCACACAATGTGGACCACTCGCCTTGCAAGACCTTTGAAGACCTTTCCTGATAACAGGTCTCTTGTGGCATATACATATTGCACATGCGCTTATCCCGCATTGGACACTTAGTTTGCTGAACGCAATTACATATGCTCAGGCTCCTAAAGTCTTAAAAATAATGACCGACTCAATTCGTAATTTTGTGTGCGCTTTTGCGTAAATAATGTGTAGACCATGTGTCCGAAGGAAAAACTATCGAAGCTGTTCTTGTGGACGACCTAATGCGCTCGTGTGCTCTCAGTACGATAGTCGGAAAGAACTTCGAAGAATGTAGAATATAAGCCAGTATCGGTAATATCACCCATTTTCTGCACAGATGCTTACCTCCGAAGACGAGAATCTTCCATTACTAGTGTTACATCAGACCTTATTGCGAAAATATCACTCTGTCGATAACAGTGCGCAACAAATAAAGATAATGTTTGTCTTTGTGGGTGCGTGTTTTTTTTTGCGACGGCGTCGAAACGTGGCGTGCTCAGCCTATCTAAGAATCTGACGCGGGACGGCCCGTCGGCCCTCTTGATCGGCTGGCGCTATACCAGGCAATACGGGCGCTGCTGGAGCAGCAGACCATTAAAATACCCAGCGAGATGGATACAGAAATGATGGATTTCTGTATGATACTGGTAGAAGACATGCCATCTGTCCCCCAGCCGTTATCCTGCGGGTCGAGCGGGCTACCATAATCATGGACAAAGCTCCCTGTCACCGTAATCCGCAAGACGCATCGACGAGGAATTCACTGAAACCTTTCCAGCCCTACTCACCATTCCTAAATCCCATCGAGAACTGTTTTTCAGTGCTGAAATCCTATGGAAACGGTGCCTAGCGCTGATTTAAAACCAGGTGAACAACAGAGGCTGGATGGGCAAAAAAGACAGCAGATCTAGGTATATCCTGATCAGGGAGGTGCAATAGGCCATGCTGACAAAAGCGTGCTGCAAATTTGTCTGCATTCTCACTGTGCGTCCCTGGTTCGATCCACCGTGCGCAGTGTGATGACGTCAGTGTGGCGTGACCGCTCGGGGGCACTGTGCGGTGACCTCGGGCCAAGACCAGCACAAACACACAGTCCGAGCAGAACCACTGCGTCTATCGCATTGGCGACGAGGTGCTCCAAGCCACGGACATAGCGGGGTGAGTGCTGGATTTCGACGAGGTTGTGGAGGACGTTGATCCGGTATCACCCTCTCCGATAGATAGGTGGGTACAGGCAGGTCTACTGTTGTAATTTGCCATGTGCTGGTGATACCGTAAAAAACTTTACCCGGAAATTCATTTGCAGCGGCCATGGAGAAACCAGAGGCATAACGTTTGATACTACTAATTCTGCTAATAACTTAATTTATCGAGAGTAGAGACTACACAATACGAGTAGCAGTACTGAACTTCCGAACATATGTCACCAGCTAGCGAAGACTTATACGCATGAATATAAAATTTGTTAAAACGCTGGCTTCAGTCTGCAGCGACCATGCCAAAGTACTCGTGTCTCACATCCGAACCTGGCACTGCGCGGCAGCCATCGGTATGCTGTTTATAATCCTATGAATGGTAAGTACCCGAGTTCGGCTTATCTTTACGGCTTTTCGTAATGGCCCACTCACTTGGTTTTTCCGGAGACTTACTTGGCATGCGGCCTAGCGCTGACTGTTTACGTTATCCCGAGTCCCTCCGGCAGCAGAGCTGCGCCGACTGCGAAACGCTATGGCGAGATCGACATAGTGATAAACGGGACCTTTTCGTACCACAAAACTCGCTACAATAATCATTTTACATTGATTGACATGGCCATAGTAGCGTCCAACCGGGGCTGGAGGGGGAGCGCTTGTTATTCGCCTTCTGGCCCCTTATCAGTGTCAATCTACCAGGGTCGCTGGTGTCCTGGTAGGATGTTTGGAAGAGTTATGACGAGGGATCGACCCGGTCCATATTCCTTCTGGGTTCAGTTTGCCTGCGCCGAGGCAGCAGGACGGTCGTGCGGAGCTGCCACGCCTCATTTGAACGTCAAAAGCTGTCGTCTTAGGACGGTGATACAGGTTAGTGTAGGTCAATCCGACAGCATACAGATTGTCATTGAATCATAGCCGTTCCACCCGTAGCGGTTCCTTGCTTCAACCTTATCTAATTTATTTCTGTTTTGTCAGCGTTCTTCCGTCAACATGCTGTCCGTCTGTCTTCTTCTACTTGCATCAGCGGTCTCTGTGGCATCTGGTCTATCCTGCCACGAGCTGCACACGCCCTCCCAGAACGCCGTGGTCTCCCTGGGAGAGACGCCTGCCGGCAGCGACCAGTGCAGTGGCGATCTGTTCATGTGCTCGTCCGTCTCACAGACCTGCCTCAACTCTGGCCGCCGCTGCGCCGGCGGCTGCGACTCTGAGGCCTGCCTGCCGTTCGCCAGTCTATGTGATGGCGTGGACGATTGTAAGGCGCTGTCCGGTGGCGACGAGGGGTCCGGCTCGGCAGACGAGGAGCACTGTTTGTCGATCCTGAGAACCTACCGCCTCACCCTGGGGGCCTCCATCGACAACGGCCGCTTCATGGCGTTCCAGGTGAGCCTGCAGACGTGCGCCGCCTACTGCTTCTTCCACCCGTCCTGCTCCATGTTCAGTTACGCCGCGTCTGGCGGCCGCAGCTGCAAGATCGGCTGCGACGACTGCGGCTGGCGCACGTTCACCCACCAGCAGAGCAACGCCAACCTCTACAACGCGACGGCGGCGACGAGCCTGCTGCGCTCCCGGCTGCAGTCTGCGCACCCGGGGACTCCATCCAACCCGTCTGAGGCGAGCCCACTGCCTGCTCCTGGGACCTGCGGCCTCCGCAGTATTTCCGGGCCTGACACGTCTCATTTTGAGCTGGCCGTGTTCGGCGAGGACCTCGGCCTTCCCGGCTTCGGACCGCGCCTCGCTGCCGCCGCCGACCTGCGGGTGGTGGGTCTGGGGGGCCGCAGGGCCGCCTATGGCGAGTACCCGTGGATGGCGCAGCTGCAGGTGCGCGAGGGGCGCTACTTTGAGCACCACTGCGGCGCCGTTGTGGTTGCGGAGAGGTATGTGGTGACGGCGGCACACTGTCTGGAACATGCCAGGAGCATGTATCAGGTGGTGATGGGACAGTTTGACCGCGGCCAGCTCGACGAACAGGAGCAGACTTTTGCCATCCAGGAGATGATTCTACATCCGGGCTTCGTGAACCAGGCGCAAGCATCCGTGGGCTACCCGAACGATATCGCCATTCTGAAGCTACTTCCGCGCCGAGACAGAGGAATCGTCTTCAGTGACAAGGTGAGATGAGTGCCTAAGGGCTATATATTTAACATCTACACATTTCTGCAATGCCTATTGATTTAACCCGCGCACCGACGGGGGGGGGCGGATATCCGCCCCCCCCTGAGGTTTTTCGCGAATAGCGGGAAAACCGCGGCGCGTAGCGCCGCGAAATTTGGTATGACTATTCCCTTATCAATTTTACACATGGTGTGCAAGTTTGAACCTCCTACCTTTCAAGGTCAGGTCACCAGGTCACTTTGAATGACCCAACCTCAAGTCACTTTTTTGCAACTTTGTCACCGTGCCAGAGCTACAGTAGATGTCGGAGGCCTTTGAAAGTCGCAGGATGTTATTAGGTCATTAGTAGCTACAATTTGTATATCTCGGAATTTTGATATCGGTGACCTAAGGTCAGGTCAATTTCGCGACCTCCCCATTATAAGTCAATGGGGGAAAAATCAACTCCCTGTTTTTACCACTAAAACGGGTCGGAATGGCCCCATATACCATACATGACTTCATATACGATCAACCTTCACTACCTTGAGGTCTGTTTTGCTGTTGGGCAGCTGTGAGGTCATGTGACGTCATCAAAGGTCACCAAAGGTTTTTGGCCAATAACTCCGTACAGGAACAAGATACAGACGCGTGGATGGTCTCATTGTGTTCAGCTCGTCAAGACGCATCGAATGATATACATGATGACCTCGAGGTCACGTGACCTGAGGTCAACCTTTGACCTTGACCTTTCGAGGTCAACATATATATCATTCGATGCGGATTGACGAGAGGATCACGATGATGCCCTTAGTTTGTTCCTATCTTGACTAATTCGAAAGTTATTCGAGAAAAACTCTCTCCATATCTAGCGCCGCCATTTTGACTTTTTCGACCCCTGTGACGTCATCTTTGACCTGACCTGAAAATGACCTTAGTAAAAATTGTAGATCTTGACCGTGCGTATCCGATGCCGTTTACCGCTTGTCGCTATCTTGCTTCGTTCTCGAGATCTCAGGGGGGGGCGGTCATCCGCCCCCCCCCCCGTCGGTACTAAGTTGGCGCAGACCCCCGTCGGTGCGCGGGTTAAGTTATTGCTAGACCGATCTTGTGCACTAGATTCAGAGAAGACGAGAATACCATTCAAACAAACTCAATAATAATTTCCAATGACCACCAACAGGTTCAGCCGCTGTGTATCACGGAGCCGCAGCCGGGTGCCGAGCTCCCGGAGAGCTGCGTGGTCTCCGGCTGGGGCTACACCAACCCGGAGGGCGGGCTCGCCGAGGTACTGGCCGGCTCCCCGGTGCCCACCGTCTCCCGGGCCTTCTGCGAGAGCCGCCACGGCTACGGAGACAGCTTTGACGGCGATATTCAGGTGTGCGCCGGCAACCTCACCGGCGGCGTCGACTCCTGCGAGGGAGACTCAGGTTCGTGAACTCGTGGATGATTAACCACTGTCTAGAGATACGTATTCAATAATTCATTATACCACTTGTATAAAAGTGACAGAGATTGAAGCTTGCTTGAACCTTCATAAAATGCAAACCGCAATCCCTCATTTTTTTTTCAAACGATTCTGCAAGTCGAAGAGTAAAAATCACGTCGCCGTTCAAACATTTTTTTTTACAGAATCTATGAATTACCGTCCGGTTTTTCTTCCGCACAGGTGGGCCTCTGGCGTGCTACGAAGCCGAGGCCGCCGAGCCGCACTGGTATCTGGCGGGGATTGTATCCTTCGGTGACGGCTGCGGCAAACCGCTCAAACCGGGGGTGTATACGCGAGTGGCGGCCTTCTACGACTGGATCGTCCGTACGCTGAACTATCTGGAGAGCACTGGCGAGTGACGTCTGTGATACCGGTAGAAACTGTGTCACAGCTACCCGGACAATGTTTAGGGAACGGTTTGGACAATGGACACCTTTGAGCAATAACTATGCATCTTTCCAAATTTCGTCAGCATTGTTTTTTCTAGTAGCGTAGCCATTCTTACTTTTTAGTTGTAGGAACTGATGTTTTTTTTAGGATATTATTGTATTTCATTGTATCATGATTATATATGATTATTTGTCGAGGATCAATGGCTTTTAGGTTAGGTATTTACCAATATTGTTGCACAAGTATTGTAAATATGTGAATTGTGAATACATGTGATGCGCTCTCAGCCATTGATAAAAATTAGAGTCTCTATGCTTATGGAACAGTCAACTAAACGTCAAAATGCATTACTCGTATTTAGAAAATTTCTTTTTAGCCCCTATGTCCTTCCATACACATATATTCAACTAATCCAGTGAGGGATAATATCCTTACTCCTTTATCGCCATCTGAAGATACGGCCACGATACATTGGAGACAAGTAGGTATGCAATCATCATAGTCTTCAGATGCCTATAGCACTGAACCAATAGTCGTGAGAAATGGAGCGAAACAACAGCGAAGGAAGTGCCAGCCTCTGGATAACGAATCTTCAACTCATAGCAATGCCTGAATGGAAGTGCGCACTCAAAAGTCATCTCCAGCAACTCAAACGCAAGCGAGCGGCTAGATGCTGAACAAAACCAACTATTGCAAACTAATGCAAACTATTGTCGGGCAGCAAAATAATGTTTGAACTATTGCCGAACGAGTAGACGAACACAATCCTAATAAAGAGCTGATCGATTAGATTAGACTACGTGCAGACGGAAGGCAAGGAGGCACTACCGTCAGAGACCCTACGACCGTCCGGCGGCCCACCCCGTCCTATTCTGCCGGGCAGCCGCGGCCGAGCCCCGCTCCGTCCGAGGGCGGATCACGTGACCCCTCCGTGCCGCAGGCGAGGTCAGCTGACGGCCGGCCGGCCGACCACCGCGGCCCGCCGCGCGGTCAAGGTCAGGCTGCTATGCTCAGCCGCACGATAATTGAGGCGAATAGTCAAATGCTGGTGGTATGGTCATATGATGAAACGAGCAAAATAGAGAACACAGCAGCTTACCTATAGGTACGGTGCTAATTGCGCGTAAAATGTGTGATGTAATTATGTATGCCCCGAGCAATGAACATTTGTTTGATTTGTCAAGTGATGATAGAAAGCAAATATTTTGCAACTGGCAACGATTCTGGGCAAAATAGAAACTCTGTTGGATCGAACAGTTTAGTAACAACTATCTCAAGCTCGACATTTTTTCCGTAGTGGCAGAATGAACTCAAAAACATTTGTGTACGTTCATTCATAATGCAATTTACTTTCAACAGCAGTTGTATCGTAGCTTGTAGGCAAAGGTGAAAAAATACGCATCCATCAACCCTCGCGGGCCCGGGGGGGGGCGTTTTTGGCCCCCCCCCCCTGGCGAATATTTGCGATAGTTCCCGAACGCTTAGAGATAGGAAAACGAAACTTTCAGTACCTTTTCTCTCATCAATTTGACATCTTCTGAAGTAGAAAATTTGGACCTAGCCCCATTGATGACGTCACAAGGTCCATTTTTCTAGACCCCTGCACGGCAAACTTCGGCGTCACAGACACAAACTTCAAATAGCTGCTAAAAATAGAGTTTTAGAGTTAAAGACAAATTACGAGCACGGTTGTGTAGCGTTTGGCCCAGAGAAAAATAGAAAAATAGTTTTGGTGACCTGAGGTCAGAGGTCAGGTCAACGACCCCGTATTGTGGTTATAGTTTTTCGCAAATAACTTCGACAAAAAATGTCCTAGAGCTACGGCAATGGTACCATCGCATTCACCTTGTCAAGCCGCGTCGAATGATATATATTTTGTTGGGAAAAGTTCAAGTTTTATGTTGACCTCATGTGACCTCGAATGACCTCTGGTTGACCTTGACACATGAGAGGTCATTTATGATGGATTTGTACCCGCTGATCACGAATCTGGCATCTATTTTCCTCTAAGCCTTCATTTGGAGATTCTGGACGGCAAAATTGTCTTACTTATTATTACTAACTTGAATCAGTGAAATAGCCTCTAGCAGGGATACTCTTCTGTGACCTTGACCTTTGAGCAGCCTTGTATCGTAAGATGAACCACAAATGGGGAACTGATAAGCCTCAAAACATTTTTAAAACATCTTGGAAGCTAGCACGCAAGATGTGCGAAAAAGTGCCAAGTTTGAGGTCAATTTTGAGCGTGACCTTGACCTTGAATTTTAATTTTAAGCACATTTTCGGAATCCTCAGATTCTCTTCTTTCGTTTGACACCCATTTTTGCCGGTTCGATGCAGCCTGCCGTCCTTTAGAAGGCTTACTTTGAGATCACTACACATGTGCCGGTTTTTGCTTTTGACCTTGACCTCTGACCTTGAAAATTGACCTGAGGTCAAAAATTTTAGGTGCTTAGAATCGTCTCGTAAGGACCTTTCGTTTGGTATCGCTTTTGTTTCCGTAGCTCCGGAGTTAGACGGAGTTAGTGAGTTAGACAGGGGGGCGAAAAACGCCCCCCCCGGGCTGCGGTGGTTGGGATTACCCCCCGGGCCCGGCCACGTCAAATTGGTAATTGGTCGCTTTAAAAATACGTTCACTCTTTTACGACCTGTTTCATTGTAATGCTTTGAAAGCGGAATGTCATGAAACTGTGGGTGTGAACTGAGTTGCCATGAACTTCGTTGTTTCGTGTTGCCATGGGAGGATATGATAGCCTCCAACAGTGATTGACAGAGCGTAGGTGAACCTGCAATTTATGCCGTACGTATGGCGGGGTATAAAGCCGCAGCAGTCAGTGCCATGTCAGCACAACTCGCAGCCTCCGACGTCACCATGGCCGCGCCCCTGCGCCTCTCCTGTGTGCTGCTGGCCGCGCTGGCCGCGCTCCAGCCGAGCTCTGCCCAAAACTTCTGCAACATCTCCTCGTGCCGGTCGCCGAGCCAGCACACCATGTGCCGGTTCACCTCGTCCAGAGTCTCCCGGGCGTGCGGCGCCGTGCGCGTCAGCTCTGTGAGCGCTGCCGACAGGGCCGAGATCCTGCGGGTCCACAACGACCTGCGCCGCGCCGTCCAGAGGGGTGCCCACAGGAACAGAGGTCTGCCGGCGGCACGGTACATGCCCAACCTGCGCTGGAGCTCGTCACTGGCCAGGATCGCACAGCGCTGGGCCAACCAGTGCCAGACTGGACACGACCCCTGCCGCGATCTGCCGCCCAAGAAACGCATAGGACAAAATTACGCCTGGACTAGCAACATGGATAAGGACTGGAAGACCAGAATTGCGGAAGCTTGGTTCACGAGTGAGCTCCCTTACGTCCGGTCTACCCTGAATAATCTCAAATATCGCGGGGGTAAAGCTGGTCATCTCACTCAGATAATTTGGGCGAAGACTACAGAAATTGGCTGCGGATATGTTGAGACTAAGCGCCCAAGAGGCCGGCATGTAGAGAGGTTCTACTTCTGCAACTATGGTCCCGCTGGAAACTTTGGAAACCAGAAGGTTTACGAGCCCAAGTAACAGCTATTGTTTTTTCTTGAATTGGTGTGCTTCGGTTCAGACGAATGCCTAGCAGCAACAACGATAAGAGGGGTGGCACGGTTATGTATATCAGCGCCTCAATGTGACTATAGAAGAATGTGTTTTTTGATGATTCTGATATCCATGCGCGATAAATAAAATTGTTTTTAAATATACAATGACGCATTTTTTTTTACGCAAACCAACGAAAACAAGGGATCGAATTGTTTATGTTTAGGAATCGAGCGATGCTGTTGCAGGGAGACGTTTATGTTTATATCAATCAGACAAGTATTTTCAGAAACATTTCAGAACGTATATTCTTGAGTGTATTCCATTATGCAGAGCTATAGGGACTATGGCATAGCAGCTTTTAGCACAAAGTCATATGCGCTACGACTGGGACATTTTTGACCTTTTGATTCAGACGTGTTCCTTTCCCATGACAGCATAACTACGCGTCAAAGGTGTAAAAGGTCATGGATATTGTGCTCATCATGAATATCCATTTACAATATCGTCGGTCGCTTACTATAGAAGGTGCAATCGGTATATTTCTAGTTCAATATCTTATAAATTGCTCAGAGCGACGTAGTGGAATGCATGAAAAATATATGCACGCAAGAAACAAATAAACGTCTAGACAAATTGTGATTGGACGCTGAAAAAGAATCAAGAGCAGCCATATCAATCACATGATAGCGCTCAACTGCTCAAGGGTATTGTTCAGATCTCTACTCAAGAGGCCAAGAAAGAAAAATGCGGGATGCGGTCTAAATGCGAAGTTGATGATACAAAACAAGCACGCTGCACAATGCTCGACTGTCGTATGTTCGCGCACTGATCTCATCTGAGAAGCATCATTCACCGTTCACACTGCAGCGTTCTGCCCATTTCGCCGTGACGCTCGTGCGACAGATGATCCCGCAGTGGTGTCAGATAGCGGTGCGTTCACGGAGACGGCGTGACGGCGTCACGCGTCAGCAGCGTTACGGGATGGCGTCACGCGGTGCTGTGTGGCGTGACGATATGACGCTTCTGTAACACGAGGTAGGGTTAGGGCGGCCGGAGTCGGGTCGAGCCTCGCCGGGATGCGACTCTGATTCAGCTGTGAGCGCAGTGAGTGCACAGTGTGGAGGAGCGATGCAGAGGATCGATGTTTTTAGTGATTCTTTATCTTCGGTCAGAAGGAAAGCGAAGATTTGTTCTAAGTGGTGATACGTGAATAAGAGGTGTTTGAAAGAATGTGGTGATAAACGTAAGAGGAGACACCCAAGACTGAAATGTAGCGTGACATTGACTGAGTCGAGGGTATGGATTTGTCCGTGTTGAAACTGAGCACAGCATGATTTCAGTGTCATGAATACGATAGAAAGACGGCTTGTGTCCCTTCTGCTGTCGGCGTTCTCCTTCATACTGATCTGCTCTGCGAAACCAACTTCGTTCCATGTTGGTGACTACATGTTGAATGGTCTTCATGAGGGGCTAACCAACAGCGAAGAAGTCACTGGTCTTGGACCCGATATAACAGCAGACACCACCATCATGAAGAACCCAGGAGTGCACGCCCTCAGTGGTTCAAGCGACCCTTCCATGCGAAAGATCAAAAGCTACATCAAAGTATCAAACTCCACTTTTGAGTCCACGAGCCACACAGCGATCTCAGCCACCACCCTCCATTCTCTTCGGGAGCGGCTCCAGCGCATTTCCTCCCAGTCATCCACCCTTCGGACCGACCGCAGCT